TCCGGGTTGTTGGTTCGATCAAAGAAGGGCAGGGTAAGCTTTTTCCGATTTATTATCGGCGGCGTAACCTAGGGTTTGCCTTGGAAAACGTGCCAGAGTGGTGGGAAGATGGCGCGCACCAGTTGCTTACTGGGTGCGCGCCCGTATCCAGGCTAGTACTAGTGCTCCTAAAAATATTAGTATTTAAAAGCAAGGTCTTCGGCCGTTAACGTCGTTGCCTGCGTTGCTGCCGCTCCTCCTGCTGCATAAAATCTGGTAATATTACCAGGGATGCCTAAGGCAGCTTGCGGCGAGGTTTTGAATAGTCTCGTCGTAGGCGGCAGGGGAGGTGTGGCGGGAAGGGTCTGGGCAAGGGGTCGTGGCGCCGGGCTTGGTGATACCGTTCGAACTGTCACCGGGGCCGGCGGCGGTACTAGCAGAGGCGGCGCTTAAGCAGGTGGCGCCGGTGCTGGCGGCGCCGGTGCGGCTTGTGCCGTTACTAGAGTTAGAAGCTGCTGTAGGAGAGCTTCTTGGTGCGCGTAACGATCGTTGGCAGCAGCGTTTTAAGCGCGCATTTCGTCCTCTAGAGACTGGAGACGAGCTTCCTGGTCTGACAGTCGGCCAAGGTGCTCCGAAAGCCGGCCTAAGAGCTGGGGACTGGAGGACCTAGTAGGGACTCCGATTGTGACGTCGCTGTCACCTTCGTTGCTAGGTCCGGGAGTCTTGGGCTCGGCGGCAGCGGCGGCTCTCTTTGGCGGCATGACGGCGGAAGGGGTTTTTTTTTTTTTTTTTTTTTTTTAAAAAAAAAAAATTTTGTTTTGTTTAAAAAGCAGAAAAAATCGTATAAATATCGGATTTGCTGGAAAAGAGGCAGCAAATTCGTCCCTTGCTAATTAAAGCAGTAGATCTTGTTCCAGTAGATACTGGTACAAAAAATCGATTTTTTGTGGCTTCTACTCCGTGCACCACTAGTCTGTCACGCACGTTCTGCGTGATCACCAGTGTAAGACCCGTACGGTAATCCTTGTGGGATATTCGTCCGGACCAGTTGCACGTATCGTAGTAAGCTCTAAGGCCTTCAGAAGATCTAGTGATGGTATTTCGTTCGGTGGTTGACTGATTGAAGACCAGACTGTGCGCAGTATGCGCGCAGATCAGGGCTTCGTCTTATCTAGTAATTTCGGCGGCCGAGGTCAAGTCAGGTGACCTCGGGGAAATCCACAATCCCATGGGGAGGAGACTGCGCAGTGCCATGTCACGTGGCGATTACATAATTAATTCACGCTCGGTGCCTCCTTCCTATACTATAGGGCGAGAAGGGCCGGTCGTAAGTCAGTGCCTCGCTCCCATCCCATGGGGAGCCAGCGCCTGCTTACATTAAAATATTTTAGTAGCCAATTAAAGCAAAGCTTTCAAACGTGACATGGCCCACTAATAAATCCCATTTTAAAAATCGTATAGCCAATGAAAACAAAGCTTTCAAACGTGACAGACCCACCTGCACCTAATTAGCCAATCACAGCAACGCTTTGATCAATGAGAATTCTTTTTAGGCCCACCTGCACCTAACCAGCCAATTAGAGCAACGCTTTGATCGATAAGATTTTTTTACGTTTACTAGCAACCGTTATTAAATTTATAACAACGTAACAAAACTTGATATAAAAAAAAGCGTAGAAGTTTTAGAATCCTTGATTTTAGCTGCATTTTATGTATATATAAAATCCCCCCTTTTTTTCTCGAAAAGTAGCTAACCCTAGCTGACTTTTTACCTTAACTTTTACTTTTTTACCTTAACTTTTACTTTTTACTTAACTTATTCTTACCTTTTTGCTAAAGATTAACCTTTTTTATTGCTTACTTAAATTGCTTACTTAAATTGCTTACTTAATATTAGCTTACTTAGTTAAATATAGTATAGTTAAAAGGCACTATAAATAGCTTATTTTAGGCAAATAGCCTGTTTATACCCTCTTGCTGCCTAGCTTAAGGCAACGCCTAAGGCTAAGACTATAGCTACGTTAATGTAGCCTTTCTTTTATTTACTACGTGTTATATTTGTAGCTATCTTCTATTTCCTTACTTATTTATCCTGCCTTTTCCTTTCTTTGCTTAGGGTAGCTTTTCTTACTTTTATAAGCTTCTACCTTTGTATTTAGACCTAAAATACTATATAAAAGGTCTAGTGTATAGCTTTAAAGAATCTTCTCCTAGAAGTTCTAGGAGTTCTAAACTTCTCTCTAGGGCTGTAATATCCTTATTAATTTTCTTCTACCTTATGTAAAGATTCCTTAACTCCTCTCTTAACATCCTACCTTTAGTAACTATCTTTAAGGATAGCCTACTCTTATATAATTCTTATCTTTTTATACTATTATATGTATAATTTTATTGTCTAAAAATCAATGTTAGTGTTAAATTTAGCGACTAGGGAGAATGGCATCGCTTCTAATGATTAACGAGATTTTGCTTCCTTAAGAATCCTCGGACGTAACGTCCGTATAAAGTGATAGGACAGCGGTAGGTCTATAATCCGTAGACTTTGCGGTTGTGCCGATCCAGACCACCTTTGTTGCCAAAGAGCGGGTGCTTGCAATTTAAGACTTCGCAGATGTAAGGCTTGCTATGTTTAGCTTCGTGCTTTTTAAAGTGTGTTAGTGCTAGCATAAAGTTAGTTGTAGGAGGATAGTTTACAGACTGTAAAGCAGATTCGGAGGGAAACTCGCTGTTACGCTGCACTCGGGGACTGAAAATTGTAGTTTGGGCTTATTACTAGCCGTGTTTCCCGACTCGATAGGGTTATATATTGCGGAGGGTTTAGTGGCTATGGTTTAGTCGGGATATGTGCCAAAGGAATTTTGCCTCCTAGAATGTACCGGTCAGCTACCTCGCACCTAAAACGTGATGTATAGATTTAATTTAATTTAGAAAGTCGAAAATTTAACGAATGCAAGCTATATATGGCATACCCTGCAAAAAGGCTCTGGCTACTGTCTAGACAGCCGAGAAAATCATTGCTACTATCTGTAAATATGTTAAGATATGCTTAAATGTAGAGTGCTTGGAAGTATCTTACTCTAGTTGTTGTTCGAAGGACACTAGTTCAAATGTGAATCTTTAGGGACGTTAGCTGTGCAAGATGAAGGCCTCTTCGTTTTATAGTATCTCTGGCTTCTCCAGAGCTATAGGAAGATGTGATGAGACAGAGGCGGAAAGGCTTCGAGGAGGAGAGGAGAAGACGAAGGAAAAGATCGCCAGAGAGGTTTATAGGGTAGAGGATATAATATAAGATGCCCAAATGTTTTCACATGCTGTATGTGACATCTTGTTGATCAGGAAGCTGCCCAGTAAGCTGCCCAGAAAAGCAATCACCTCCCAATACTATAGTGCATTAGCATCGACAACTCGCCAGCAGTTTTTTAGATCTGGAGGCTGTCTCACAAGTTGGATTTAAAATTATTTGATGCGTATCAGTAGGGTAATTGAAGTCTTGGAAGATGGCAGGATTTTGCAGACTTGAGGGGAAGTGAAAAGTATCTAAATCAGTATAGTTCTCCATTGCGCCTGTAGTGACGAGCGGTGACTTACTGTACGCGGCTAGGCCCATCTGCCTTTTTATATCGATGAAGTTTGTTGTGGCTTAAAGCACAACAGGACAGGGGGAGAGGGGAAAGCCGTCCTTTATATATCGGACATAAACGATGTTCTAACGACCTGTGCTCTAGACACTCTCTTGTCTATGTGTAGAAGCGCGGCAACCTAAGGCAGATTCCTAATAGTACATAAGCTGTAGGGCAAAATGTTAAAACTCACCAATCAAAATCAGCGGATTTCGGATTGAATGCCCGAGGGAAAGCTGCCCTGATTCCAAGGCAAGCGGTTTCTTACACTGCTGTTTCGTTGTCGTGGATTGGTACACGAAGCCGCATAAGGCAGACTTTGCCTTGATTCTTAGGCAGAGACACTGGGCACCGGTATAATTTACCTTGCGAGGCTGAACTGCTGCTTAACCGCCTGAGGCACACTCGTCCTAATTCTTGGGCAAAACGCCTGCCGACCCGGAATCTTCTACGTTACCGCCAGACTATTATGTTAAGCATCTTGATGATATTCTAGATGCACAGAGAAGAAAGTTTACGATTCGTCTATATCCACGTTACTAGGTAAGGATGCTAATCTATTAGCCTAAGGCATATCTAGAGGCAGATCTACCTCGATTTCAGGGCGAAGAGGACCCGCTACGATTCACTAGCCGGTGAGCCGTATAAGTAATACAGGGCGATGCAAACGGAACTGGCCAAGCCGCCGAAGACAAGCGGCCTCCCTAGAGTTTCAACTTATCGGGCTGTGGATTTAACGGGATTGCTGAGTCACGCTAGGGGAGCACTTCGGAGTAGAAGCCACAGGGCCTTGACTGCGGAGCTTAGTTTCCCAAGGGATTAGCACGTAACATGCCTTAAGCCGCGCCCCTTGACGGAGGCACGATCGCCTCTTATACTATGTATAAGGCATCTTAGGGGGATAGACAAATACAACACAGAAATTCTTGCTAGTGATTATTTTTCATACATAATATTTACAGATGTGCTAGGCTGTATTACAATAGCACGTATTCCATTGTACTGTACTCCGTAGATACATCCTACTATCTGTCTTTGTTCTTTGTAAGAGAGTGAGCCAGTCTCTCATCGAGCCTCTCCCCTTTCACCAATCTTGTCAACTCATTCCTACTGCTACTCTCCGTCGTCAATGGCCCGGCCCCTCGCCGACCCCCATGTCTTGTCGTAACGAAGGGGAAAGTGGCTGGCGAGGATGAACGCCGCCGCCCCAGCGCAAAGGCCAGATACAGCTGTGCCCTAATGTACCAGTTGGGCCCTGCTTGTAGGGAATGCTCCTAGCGGGACAAACACGCTAAAAATGTAAGCTAGGATCGTGCCGCTAGCAAAGAGCACCGTGCACCTTAGGCTTGCCCTAGAGGTGCGGGGCAGAGAAGACGGTGGAGATGCTTATAGGGGGGAGGGTTAGTGCCCAGAACGAGCTACTATGTACTCCGTAGATATCGAGAAAGGTCTGGCAAGCTGCGCCGCCGGAACACGACTCCCGCTTGAGCTGAACAGTGTCTTAGCGGCCAGCGCCGTAGAGGCCTACATTAGTCACAAGATGTCAATATTGACTGTGACGTACAGTAAGCTGTATGAGCAGGAACCGCAATTGACCCAGAATGAGGTGTGTGAGAAGGCAAGCTGGATGTTCGAGACATGCGTGGACCTTTGTGCCATTGGGAAGATGGCCTCACCAGACAATGCTGGTAGCTTTAGGATCGTTCAAGTCATATGCTGGCGCAAAGTTTAATGGTCAAAGTGTGGGGCATTGCAGCCAAAGTGACAGTTGAGAATGGAAAAGAGATAGCTCTGTAGGCTCCAGCTGTCCCTGAAGACGGACAGCTTACTGGGCAGTCTGGAGTCGGAAATGGAAAAGGGCGGCCAGAGAAGCATAATGTCGCTTCATCCATTGTCCCCTGCAGGCGCAGAGCTGCCTTGGTGAGGGCTCACACTTAAAGGTCTGCATGTAGAGAAGCTTATGCAAAAGGGTAGGCACCAAGGATGGTTGAAGTTCTTCTACGGAAACTATACGGCAATATCTTACATAAACCTCCATTGCCGTTTAAACCATTGTAGGTACGAACAAGGGCCTCGCCTCTGCCTCCGTCCTCAAAAATCACCTCCTATCCTGTCCGATTATTCCTGCCGTGTCTACATACAGTAAGAAAGCCGAACTTTCTGGCTCTTGCAGCTCTCCAGTTCATGGCCTCACCCGAGCCCAGAATCCGGGTCGGTCTCATTTCGTAGCAGATGGCAGTTTTGGCCTCGTCCGTACCACGGGTCAGCGTCCTAGGACGCGGCCAGCCCGGGTACTTTGGCTTGGCCGGGCCGAAGAGATACATATAGCGCAACTTGCCGTTGTTGACATCATTCAAGTCGTCCAGGTGGTAGGATGTGACGGGGCTGGCCGGATCTGCGAGGTAGGCAAACACCGCATCGTACGCGCCGCTGGGCAGCACGATCTCATACAGCGTGACATGGCTGGGCTGCAGCGCCTGGAGGACCTGTAGCAGACTATCAGCGGTGGTAAATTTTACGCCGCTGAGGGCAAAAGAGTCGAGGCGTATTGATGTGGTGGACAGCTTCTCAAGTGTAGAGGATAGTGGCGGTAGTGGGGATGGCTCAGGGAGTGTGACGGAAGATTCCCCCTCCCTCTCTTCCTCTTCCTCGGTATCTGGCTGGTACGGATGTACTTTGAACCAATGAATGTCAAGTTTTTTTATCGTTGGTAGGGCACCGGTAGCCATCAGATCTAGGATCGTGTGCAAGACTTCCATAAAGTAGACAGCTTGCTGTTCGATGACCGTCAATTGTGTAGCGGTGCCTTCGCTTGTAATCCGCCGCCCTGAGGCACGATGGGGCCCCGACAGGCTTATATCCAGGTGCTGCAATGTCGAGAATACGGATGTCAACGATGCGAGTGATGTTTCCGCCATCCTGTCTTGCAGGATGTCGACAAAAACACGGCTGGAGAAGCTGCATCGCTGCTGGGAGTGGAAGACGTCCAGACGCGTGCTGACGCCCAGATTCGAGGCCAGCAGCGCATCTATCGCGATGCGAAACGTCCGCTGAGCCATGTCCCAGAGAGGTAGAAAGTTCATGGTAATGCTTTCTGCGCCACGCAGCACGCCGTCCTCCTGGCGAACGGCAACCCGCAAGCTCAGTAATGATATGCCGTTGTGGCCGTTTTTGTCGTCGTTACGTCTCGCCTTCTTAATGTTGCGGAATACCTCTGTGAGGAGCTCTGTCTGCCGTGCCGTCATATCTGCGTCTTCACCTGCCACTAGCTGCGGCGGTGGCGCCCTCAGGTGGCCACCCCTGTCCACAAGCTTGACCTGACTCTCCTCCAAGAGGCCAGTCAAGGTGCAGTCTTGCAGGAGACATGCCACGCGGCGGCCGTAGCGGTCATGGCTCGTGATACGTACGAGATTCTCGAGAGCCGGCATGGTGAGAAGGATTTCCCTGCGCTGACAAAAGGCCTTGAAGCGGCCGTGAGAGGTCCTGTCATTGAATGCGCGGCTCGCCAGACGAAGCGAGCAGATGTCCGGGAGGTCCACAAACGATATGATAGACTCGACCAGCTCGACGGGCAAGACGTTGAATGTCGCGGGAGCCATAGATGAGGTGGAAGAGGGGTAAAACAATTGAGCTAGACAGAGTTAATCGCGCGTTGCTACCGTGGGCAATAAGGGGGTGGGTGGGAGGTGGTATTTATGTTCAGCTTAAGCTTATTAACTCGTAGTTATTTTTGGCACATGGGCTTGTTTTGGTGGACATTAATATGGGTGTGGATACCTGAATATCAGGCATCTATACAGCTAGGGTTAGCTTAGTGGTGATGGCGCTAGACTGCGCGCACAACGCAGTCTGGCAACAACCATCATCTACCTACTTCGGAATCTCTACTAGATCTTTAGAAGACCTTTGCCTCTACTGCTACAGTGCAACAGTGGCCATTACAGTAACCGTACTGGATTGCTGTAGAGGTCCCTCCTGGTACAGCTCATACAGAGAGCTACGCTAGGGGCGCACAGGAGCGAGTAGAAGCCACATGGGCTAGACCCACATAAGCATCTTCTGTCTAACTTGCTACTGAGCCCCCTATTACGGTATTTTGCTCATACCAAAGCCTCCAGCCTCCATTCTCGTCGCCATCCGCATTCGCGTCGTACTCGAACAATGCTATGCCTCTATGTGGAGGTAGTTCCTCACTATCATCCGCCTCATATCCAAGTACAACTATATCTATATCCCCGACAAGATTCACAATGGTTTGCTGTATAGTAGCAATGGCATCTGGATAGCCCACACTTGTACTGTCTGCGTTTGCTGCTTGAACTTCCTCTTCGGTGGCCCCGGCCGGAGTTTTCGGCGTCATGATGTAAGCCTTGGTGTTCTTGTTTATGTAGAGACTTGGCGTAATGGCCGCGCCCTTGCTGTTCTACTTTGATCCACCTGTGATGAGGTTGACAAAGTTTCGTCTCAGCGCTGTGGCCGGAGGTACGGCGTCATCACGAGAAAAGGCGAGGCTTTCAAATATGTGCGCCTATAGTCTGTTAGCTCTAGCCACAAAAAACAAAAATAAAAAATAGTTCGTCATCTTGGGAGGTCTTCACCATGTACACGGCCTCATCTGACACGATCGTCAACACCGTGCAGCCAATCAGTCCGGGCGTACCCATTGTTAAGGTGTTGGCGCCATCGTAGTTTGCAAAGACTCTCTCTGCGGCATAGGTATATTGCCTTCCACTGCTAGCTGGGGGGTTTTGTTAGCAAAGGTAAATCTTTAAACTTGTAGAGCGAGCAGCTTACCAGTGTAGATGATGCTCAGAGCATTTGAATTGGGAGAAGTCGCCGGGGAGTCGAGTACGAGAATGTCCTCCGTACCCACCGTCTCAGCCAAATAATCGTCTATTTCCTCTTCATCGAGGTTTCCGATGACACGCTTGTTGAGGCCCAAGTTGTGCGAGACAGAAGTTGCGTTGGCACTCACGGAGCCAATAAGCGACCGCTTTTTGGCAGAGGATGCTGAGCAGGAAGAAGTACAGCCAGATCCGCAGGCAGTACGGCACAAGGCGTACGGGGCACTGGTGGTGGACTGCCTGGCCTTGAGCACAAAACTGGGGTCATGGAGCCTGTACGGAGTATTGTTAGTCGGACTACCAAGCTATTCATTCGTACGTACGTGAACATACGCTCTATGCGTGACCTTGTCGGTGAAGCCGGTCCCCGTGACGGCCCCGGCCCGTGGCTAGCCTTGCCATGATACTTCTGCTGGCATTTACCCAAGTCTTTGCTGCCGCAGAGTATTCGTCCATCCGCTCACGCTGTCCACAGGTGTGCAGCGAGCTCGGCCATGACCCGGCCGGCTGGACGTACTATCACAGCCTGCACGTGCTCAGCAGATGCAACAAGACGGTCTTGTTTGACACCAACCTGTTCAACGCCGTCAACGACAGTCGCAAGCACTTTACCATTCGCGCGTGCTCGGTAGAGGCAGATTTGTCAGCCGCCGCCGCCACCACATCGGCGTCTAAGCGTGCCAACGGCCATGCGGCGCGGTCGTTGTCGCAGCAGGGAAACGAGACGACGGCAAGTGCGACTGTGCGGCCGATGGCTCTTTCTTGGGGCACTGGTAACGGGTCCACCACGTCTTTGTCATCATCAGAATCGGCGTCCCTTTTGAGCCATCTTCTCTCGTATGCGCAAGACAAACCAGATGACGGACTCGGTCTCGGTCTGTTTGCTTCCTCTGGCAGCACTGTCGCCGGCGTGTTCATCGGGTCGGGCGTGCAGACAGCGAGCGCCGTCAACGTGCTCGGCGCATTTGCCGACGCGCAGGCCTACATCGAGGCACCGAGCGCGGCGCTGCAGTACTGTGGAAGCAACAACAACAGCACCAGCAGCGGAAACTCCTCGTCCCCCACCTCCTCTGCCGGCCAGGCAGTCTTTGGGGTCATCGTCGACACAGAAGGGGGGGGCGACGTGAACGTGGCCCGACTGCAAGCGGCTCTGGCCCAGTGGACCGACGGCAAGTGTCTGCAGGGCGACGGAGCATCGCCGACCTCGACGTGGTGGTCGGCAGCTTCGGAGCCAGAGCTGGTAATAGTCGCAGAGGACGACGAGGCCACGGCATCCAGTCTGCACCGACGAGCAGACGCCACCTCTCCGGCAGCGTATGCCAACGGAACGTGTTATACGTATGTGGTGAGCACGGGAGACACGTGCTCGGCCATAGCGCTGACGTACGGTATCAACATAGCGGCCGTCGAGGACAACAATGACAACACCTGGGGATGGATGGGCTGCTCGGATCTGCAGATCGGCCAGTATATCTGTCTCAGCACCGGTACGCCGCCTTTCCCGGCAACTGTGTCCAGCGCAGTGTGCGGCCCGCAGGTCAATGACACGACGCCCACGAGCAACTATACGGGCTGGGCAGATCTCAACCCGTGCCCGATCAATGCGTGCTGTGACATCTGGGGCCAGTGCGGGATCACGTCGGACTTTTGCACGCCGGATCCGGCGGACACGGGAGCGCCGGGTACGGCACAGGCCGGCAGCAACGGTTGCATTTCCAACTGCGGCTTTTCCGTCATCCAGTCCGTGGCGCCAGACTCGTTTGCTACTGTGGGCTATTTTGAGTCGTGGAACAGGGACCGGTCGTGTCTGCACATGGACCCAGCGGACATACCATCAAAGTACACGCACGTGCACTTTGCCTTTGGCAACATCACCGACGACTACGCCGTCGACGTCAGCGGCTACCAGGACATCTTTGACAGCTTCCTTGCCGGCACAGGCTACAAGCGGATCCTCTCCTTTGGTGGCTGGGCCTTTTCCACCAGCCCGCAGACGTACCCCATCTTCCGCGAGGGCGTGTCGGAGGCGCAGCGGCAGACGTTTGCCGATAACATTGTAGCGGTAAGTAAGACGTCGGACGTGAAGGAAAAGATAAGCTAGGCGGGCCGAAACTAAACCAAACCAAGCTAACGCGGTTAGTTTATCAAAGCAAACGACCTCGACGGCGTCGACTTCGACTGGGAGTACCCCGGCGCTACGGACATCCCGGGTATCCCGGCCGGCACCGCCGAGGACGCCACAAACTACCTGGCCTTCCTGCAGGACATGCGGGCACGGCTGCCGACGGACGAGTACACGTTGTCGATTGCGGCGCCTGCGTCCTATTGGTATCTGCGCAACTTCCCAATCAAGGAGATCGGCGAGGTGGTCGACTACATCATCTACATGACATACGACCTGCACGGCCAGTGGGACTATGACAACAGCTTTAGCGAGTTAGTCTGCGCTGCCTTTGATGCTGATTTTAATGCTGATTCTCTCTCACATGCTCGTTCTAACCAGTAGTTTAGTCCGGGCTGCGTCGACGGAAACTGCCTGCGATCGCAGGTAAACAAGACCGAAACGCTGTCGGCGCTGGCCATGATCACAAAGGCCGGCGTGCCGTCCAACAAGGTCATGGTCGGCCAGGCGCTGTACGGTCGCAGCTTTGAGATGACTGAGGCAGGATGCTACACGGAAATGTGTAAGTGCGAGTGCAAGTTCGACTTCGAGTGCGAGTGCGAAGTGAATCTGACAAAAACAACAGGCACCTATGTCGGCCCCGATACTGGCGCTACGCCGGGCATCTGCACTGACACGGCCGGCTATATTAGCAACTGGGAGATTGGGCAGATTCTGATCACGCCCGATGCCAACGCCCAGCAATACTACTCGGACGAGGCCGGTGACATTGTGGTCTACGACGAGACGCAGTGGATCTCGTACCTTTCGACAAACACGTACAACTCACGCGTGTCCTGGGTCGAGGGCATGAACTTTGCCGGCACCTCGGACTGGGCCATGGACCTGGCCACCAACTACTACGACAACGGCACGCAGGTCACCAACGGCTCCGGCGTCGTCTACATTGACCCCAGCGTGCTGACCGACCCTGACGCTACCATCGCCTGCATCCCGCCCTGCACCTTTGTCCTGCCGCCGTGGACGCTGTCGACAATGACCACCATCAGCCAGCCACCGGTCACGGAGACGATCGACGAGCTGTGGACGTCGACCAGCACCGGTTCCAACGGCCAGACCTCTATCGCTTACGTCACATCGACTGTCGTCACCACCATAACCATCCCCGCCCTCACCACCGACACCATCTCGATCTACAACGTCATCTGGACCGACGTCAGCGACACCATCATCTACTTTACCAGCAGCGTCAACATGCCGTCCACCGTGCTCGAGCAGGCCAACGACACCATCACCAAGTCCTCCACCACTACCATCTTGCCCGGCATCATCTATACCTACAGCCCGGGGCCGTACACAGGGTCGCAGGAGACGACGGCCACGGCCACGACTACTCCTGCTTCTGATGCTTCTACTTCTACTTCTACTCCCCCACCCGGACTACCTCCGGGAATGGTCGGCTCAGTAAGTGTCAACTCGGGCTCGCCGTCGCCGACCTGCGTCGTCGGCTGCGGCTCTGTGTGTCTGCTCAACTGCCTGCCGTCTATTCCCTGCATTGGAATCTGCGGTTGTGTCGGCCTCGGCTGTCCGACTGGTGCTGACGGAGATAACTGCCTCGGCGCGGGTTGCGATGACAGCGACGATGACGACGACGACGACGACGGTAGTGGTGATGATGACGACAGCACCACAAAGACGTCATGCTCCACCAGCCACACCGTTACCAACTACGAGGTGCCCTGCACCGTGACCAACTACGGCTCGTCGAGCAAGTCGACATGCAACAGCCAGACGTGTGATCCGACGCTCGCCTGCGACACCACCGGCACGACGACTACGTCGTGGACAACCACGGCCGACTGCACCTGGACCGGTGCCAGCTACATTCCGAGTACCTGGGCCATAGACAACCCGGCCGGTGCTTTGCCTCAGCTGGGCGCCGGCGGCCTCTTTGGCTTCACATACTACAAGGGGGACGGCAGCCTGCCGTCCAGCTCTGCCTCTGCGTCCAGCTCTGCCACCACCGTCTCGTACATTCCCTGCACGTATCAGGGCCAGGACCCCGACCAGGGTATCACTGCACGTGAATTTTTTCGCTTGTCCTGATTTACGATTTTGTATTGATAATGACAATATATAAAATGCTAAACTCGACAACACTACCTCAGAATACTGCGTCTGCTCCGGGTCGACCTTTGCGCCCAAGACCACGACCGGCGGTGGTGGCAACTCGTGCGCCTACACAGCCATGCCGACCAAGACAACCAATGCTGCAGTCCTGTATGAGACAGCTAAAAGCAACTGCGAGGTGTGCACTTACGCCGGCCTGTCACAGATTGGCTGCTCGGACCTGGCCGGCTGCACAAAGACGTACCTCTCGACGAGTTCTTCGACGACGACCGCCACCTCTATCCAAACGATGGTCCCGGCACCCTCAGAAGTGACCGACTGCTCTTTCTGGTAAGGGAGAGAGAGAGAAAGGGAAAAAGAGAGACAGACAGAGACGGAGAGAAATACAAGACGACACTTGCGGACGTGAGGATGCTAACCAAGCTTTTTGCAGGGACGAGGTTTTATACTGGTCTTTCGAGATCTACAACATCGAGGGCTGGTCCGACGACGGTGGTGCTGCGCTGAAGAAGCAGGAGAAAGGCTGCGGCGCCCTCACCGGCTGGGACTGGTATGAAGCCACAGATGACTACCCAGCCTACGTATACTTTAACCTACCCCTCTTTATGAAGGATGGCTGCGTCGAGCGCGCGATCGTGTCCGCCGGAGGACTAAAGATATCTTGCACAGGTGAAGGCCTTGATTTCCGGCGAAGGAGCTTGGGGAGGAGCGAAGACGAGGAGGACAGCGACGGCGACGACAACGCCAACGCCCAGGCTGCTGACCTTAGGGCTCGCTCGATGGCGCTCATGACGGCCTCGCCGATCGTCCAGTCCTCCACGCCGACATACTCGTACTCACAGACCACCAGCATCCCGGCCTACGTCCCCATGAACTGGACCGGTACCGACAACAGCAGCACGGTGACGCTGACATGGACGGTGACCGAGGTCACGTCATTTATCGTCACCCAGACCAGTGTCATCGCGGGCGGCACCACCAGCGCCAGCACCACCGGTAGCGGATCTATGACCACAACGACGACGGGATTATCGACAGTCTCGACAGTCTCAACACCCTCGCCCGTCCAGACGGGCATGGTCAGCAACTGTGACTCTTTCTATCTCGTCGTATCAGGCGATACCTGCAGCGCCATCGCCACGGCGGCTGGCATCAGCCTGACAAGCTTTTATGCGTGGAACCCAGCCGTGGGATCGAGCTGTGCTTCTCTCGGTCTGGGTGACTACGTATGCGTTGGCATAACGGGCACGAGCAGCGCCACCAGCAGCACATCGTCCACTGGCAACGGCATCTCCACACCCTCGCCGGTCCAGACGGGGATGGTGAGCAGCTGCGACGACTTTTATCTCGTCGTCTCGGGCGACACTTGCAGCGCCATCGCCACGTCGGCTGGCATCAGCCTGACCAGCTTTTACGCGTGGAACCCGGCCGTCGGCAGCAGCTGTGCGTCTCTCGGCCTGGGCGACTATGTCTGCATCGGCGTCCTAGGCGGCGGCACCACCACCACCACCGCCGCGACGCTGACCACGACCACAACATCCACGACGTCCACCTCATCGGACAACGGCGTGACGACGCCGACGCCCATCGAAACGGGAATGGTAACCGACTGTGACACCTTTTACTATGGTAAGTCTTCCTTATCTCGCTCCGCTCGCTGCTGTCTTCTCGCCTAACTTTTTGTTAGTTGTCTCGGGCGATACCTGTGCCTCGATAGCCTCGGCGGCAGACATCACAGTGACCAACTTCTACACGTGGAATCCGACGGTGGGCACCTCCTGCACCAACTTGTGGCTAGATTCCTATGTGTGTATCGGTGTACTATAAAGGTGAGGCATATGGGACATGCGAGACATGCGAGACATGCAGGGCATACCTGGTACATGGAGGAGAATGTGAATGTCACCACCAGCTGCAAGGACCGAAAAGGCCAAGGCAGCGTCGCTTCATGTTGCTGGCTGTTTTGCATACATAGTAGGAAAACTCGGAGAGGGCGCTGCTATCCGCACGTGTCCGGCACCGACACTGACGCCTCGGAGCTATGTCGCTCGCAAAAGAGGCATATTATCATAACATTGTAATGATAGCGGGATAATTAAAAACATGAGCACTTTGTAGGAGTATCCCCAGCTGGGGCATACCACCTTGCATATCAGCCTTTAGACGTCGACCGCCATGCTACAGAATACAGAGCACAAAATAATGCAGAGGAAGGGGGCGCCTAAAGCAGCCCGCGCACAATCCAAGCAAGATAGTATTAAGGGGAAAGCCAACGAAAATGGCAGAAGTTCTAATCAGTAGAAGCGTGGTTTAGTAAGTAGTTTCTTCGCGATGCCCTATTCCTGTCGAATGGTGCAGGTTAAAAATAGGTTAGATTGCCGGCGGAAGTTCAGTGTTCTGTTAAGCCAGAGCCCGAGCCAGCGTAGCACTGTCTTGGGATTGCCAAAGCTACGACGACGGCATGGTGATGCCGACTCTCACCGAAACATATGGGTAACCAACCAACTGTGGCGCCTTTTACTATGCTAAGTCCTTTCTCTTTTCTTGTTTCGCTCCACTCGCTATTGTCTTCTCGCCCAGCTCAATAACAATACACACATGCACGTAGGGTCAATAATCTAACTAAGCTAATGATCTGACAATTATACATAGTAAGCGGGAGGTGCAGGTTGCAGGTAGTGCACCTTCAACTTCCCTTGCAAGAGATCGCCAGTTCGAACCCTGCTCAAAATGGAAAACCTACCTATGCTGGGAGTCTAATGTCCATCCAGCTCCCTACCCTTTGCTAAAAGATGCTTCTAGGGGCGGGGGTTGTGCCGGAAGGTTTAAGGATGAAGAACGGTGAGGTCCTCACCTTCTTGTGTATGATTTGACAGGAATAGCCGCTTTCTAACAACCTGAAAAGTAACAGAGACTTTTGTAAGGCTGAAGTGGGGCATCTTGTACTTCACTCTCTAGAGACGTTATACGTCGCCCCTTGTTTCCCTACTAGCTGGCAGAAGGTCCCAAGCCGTGCCCCGCCGCACTCCGCTAGCAGACTGCCTTGAACGGGTGACTACAAAGGAAGAGGCGGACAAGCTTTGGCTCCGGTACATTACGCTTAGATTGGATATGGCGGCTGCCGCACAGCGTCTTAGGACGAGCCTCGCCGAGTTCGTCAGGTGCCAGTACCGGTGCCAGTACCGGTGCCAGTACCATGCCAACTATACGAAACTCTAGAAGAGGAACGGCTGTTGCTGTTTCGCCGCCTGCGGCACACTTGCGCCAAGTACACCCCTGGAGTTTCGTTGTATAGTCCCACCTATTCTCTCGGCACGTTTAACCTGTCGCCCAACCTAATCCTACTGCGGTACATCGATAAGCAGAAAGATACGTCGCCGAGCCAATTTTGTGTTAGCGATCTATGCCGGAGACAGAGAAAAGCGATACTGTGCTTTCAATCATCGCTAACTGGGAATCGGATTCTCTCCGAACCTAGGAGGCTGTAACTAGGGACATATATGGCAGGCCCTACTCTTTCTTTTTAGTTAAATTATGTATATAATATAATATAGAAGAAGTAAGACGAAATAAAGAAAGATAACAGATGGCTAAAGATGAAAGTTAGAGTAAGAAGGAGAGGGCGGACTAAGATAAGGGTAAGAAAGAGGATTATTAGCACTGCATGTAAGCTACTAAATTGTCTGCCTACGCGAGCAATTGACGCATTTTGTAGGCGGGGGCTATAACGGCACGACTGTAGTCAAACATCCTTGTTGCTAAATTAGACAATGTGCTGCTATTAGGACAAGCGGTCCCTTTTTAAAAATAAGTTAGTGTGGCTATATATATAGTAAGACAAGATATAACACTACTAGTTTAATATAAGTCTTTTGTTGCTATATATACTTTTCGGCGTATACGGGTGTCTTAGTAGCACTAGATCTACAATTAAAACTTAATAAGTAAGAAACCTTTAGTGTTTAGGTTACTACTTTAAGTGCTTTGTGTTAATAATACTTTCGTTAGACATTTTTAATAACGGCTTAGCTTCTTGTATTGTTAGAGTTAATTATTTAACAGTAGGCAGTAATCTAGTTTATAAAAGTTTATAGTTAAGTAGCTAAAATGCAACGTTATTTGCTATATAAGAAGGTTATCTTTAGTGTAGAAAGTAAGTTGCATACTTAGAGAAGATGTAGCATTTATAAATAAGATTTAACTAATGCTTAGTTTATTTCTTTCCTATAAGGGAGAAGTAAGTCTATTTAGAGTATTCTTTCTATATTACATTGTCTATCCTACTTCTAGTTAAAAGTAGAAACTTAAAACTAAAATATAAGGTTTCTTGTTGCCTTTAAAGTTAGCTTTTATAAGAGTATTCTATATACGCGTCTTTACGCACCGGTTTAGCAACCCGTCGCTTACTAAGCGGCGAACTTAACAAACTATCTTAATATATTGTATAAGACTAGTATAGCTATTTAGCTATGCTACGCCCTACTAAGGTTACGCTACACTGCATCTTTTAGTTATGTATAAATTAGCTAGCAGGCTGTTGCCTACTAGTCTACTATAGTTTGTTAAGTTAAAGTCTTAATATACAAGTATAAACACGTTTAAAGCCTTTAAAATTATACATTGCACACTAACTTTTATATTCTTTAACTTTTTTTTTATAAAAAGCAATGTTTAATTATAGGGCAGCTACTTTGCAATCTATATGTAAACTGTTAGAAGCAAAGAACATGCTAATGCTACCTTTTACGCTAATGCACAGTAGCTATACTTTATATATAACGTTTATAGGTACCTTAACCTTATTTATTAAATTAAATATAAGACTAGTATACATACTACTTAATAATACTTTGCTAGCTAATAAGCAGCTATAAAGTAATAAATATACTTGTATTATATAAACGCTAAAAGTACTAACTAACTTTATAGCTATAAAGGCTATAAAGCTACTACTTAGTAATTACTACTATAATAATAAGCTACTATAATATAGTATTAAGAAGCTAGAAATTAGTGCTACTATTACTAAGATAAAAAAGTAGTTAGTAATAATAAAGGACGCTTATAATACTAATATATATAGTAACGCGTTAAAAGATATAAATATTATTTAAGTAAGTAGTTAGCTAACTACTAAGCTAGTGGCTAATTAATAAAAGTATTATAACTACCTTTATACTAGTAAGCCTTTAGTTATATGCTTTATATAAATATACTTTATTATATTTATTTATTAAAAACACTTAAACTTTAAATTTTAAATATACTATATTTATAAAAAAAGCTAGATGCTTTAGTAAGGTAGTAAGTTATTAATAGTATACTAGTAGAAGTAAAATTACTTATAATAAAAGATTAGTAACACTTTTAACTAAGTAAGCAAGATTGCTTAAAGATACTAGTAAAGGCTAGATAACTACTTAATAAAATAGTACTAAAATAAAACTATTAGCAAATCTTTTAGTATAGTAATAAAGATTATAAATGCTTATAAAGAGTATTAGTCTTAAGGCTAAGAGTAAAAGAAAAGATAAGATAACTAAAAGTAAGTAGTAATAGTTAATAATATGCTAGCTAGTAAGCTAATAAAGAAATAATGCTATAATAATAATAAGATAAAAAACTATAGTTTTATAAAAAGCAACTAAATCTTATAACTAGTTACTAGCTAAGGTTAGTTTACTTCCTAACCTACTAACTTTAGTAGTTTAAATAACATTAACGTTATATTAAAATACTAGAATTATAGCAAGAGTAGGCATACTTTTTAAAAGTGCTTAAAGCCTAAAACTTATGCATAAGTTAAGAAGCTTTAAGTAAAACTAGAAGATAGTCTTTAAAAGCTTAACAACTAAGAGGCAACCTACTTTAACTAAGAAAACTAGTAAGGTTAATAAAAAAGCTTTAGCTTTTATTAATCTTACTAGTATAGCTAACTAGAGATATAATTCCTTACTATTATACCCTAGCTAAGGTATAGACGCTTAGAAATTACTAGATTACTATTATTATAAACCTAGATTCTTATACTAACCTAAATATAGTTAACTTAAAGGTTATTTAATAGCTTAGTTTAAAGCTACTTTAGCAATACTTAAACTTAAACCTAGTCTTTATTAATAGAAAAGTACTATAAGCCTATAGCTTATATAAGCTAACTATTATACTAATAAAGGATAAAGTCTTTTATGCGTTAATATAAGTCTTTATAGCTGTTTACTAAATAGGCGCTAACTATAAAGATATTATCTTAAGTTATAAAAGGCTAAGGTTTTTAAGCGTTATTATTAATACTATTTAATAAGCCTAGTTATTTGCTATTATAGTTTTTAAGACCTTTAAGTAAATAAGCTAACGCCTATATAACGGCAAAGAGTTGTTTACTATCTACTTAATATAGTTAAATTTAAGCCTTTATAAACTAGATACTCTTACTATAGACAATAATCTAGCTTTACTAGACCTTAGCTAGCAACTACTATTTTATATATAACTATTTACTAAAGTGTTTAATATTAATAAGGTAAACGAACTACTTTTATTAGTAGACGCAAAGCACTTAATTAAGCTAGAAGACGGTATAAAGGTACTATATAGCTTACTATACTTACTATCTCTTACTTAGTAAGAAAAGCTTTACTACTTTATTAATAAGTTATTAGCAAATAAGTAGATTGCTTATAGCAATAGTTTAGCTAAAGCCTTAGTAATTTTTATCTTAAAGAAGGATAGTACTTTACGCATATACGTTAACTAAAAAGGACTACTACCCTTTCTTATTAATTAGTAAGCTATTAAATTACTTAGATAGCGTAAAGGTGTTTTTTAAAGTAGATATAAAAAAAGCATACTATAAGATCTAGGTTAAGGCCTTTAATTAGTAAAAGACTACTTTTTAAATAAAATATAAGCTCTTTAAGTTTTATATTATACCTTTTAGATTAACTAACGCGCTAGCTATATTTTAAGTATATATCTACTATACGCTAGTAAGGCTAGTAGGTATAGTCTATAAGGTATACCTAAATA